TTAGTAACTTTCTAGTAATTAGTAAATTCTAAGAAGTAAAAGGAAGAATTCTGTTATTAGGTTTTTTTTTACTAAAAAGTTTATTAAAATTTTTGACATTTTACAATTTAAGAAATGAAAGAATGACTAAATCAAATTATATGAATTTTATTAAGCCAAACCTAAATTTTTCATCATTTTGTACGATTTGGCTAAGTATTTGCTCTGTTGGAAAAAATAAATAAAGGAACATCAATGACAGCTCTCCAGTACTTTACCTGTTTCTGAATGAGAGCTAATCTAGGTTAAAACTGCTGGTTCTGCTGTGAATTTGCATCTATACATGTATCCTAACGATTTTCTGATGATTAATTTTTCTATAGGTATTTTTTTCTCCAAGTTGCCTTAATTGGAAAGACATCAAACAAACAAACTGCTGTGAGAGCATTAACTAAGTTAGCACATCGCTGTCTGATATCCGTAACAACAAAATTTTCATTTCCTCATTTGCCCAGTAAGCAGTGGAATAACTATATTTTCCATAATGCAGTTGTGGATTTGTATTGCAAGTGTTTGGGTGATAAGAAAGAAGAATGTACTGCACTTGATATGTTTGTCAGGTGGATGCCAGCAAACACTGATTTATTAGAAAGGTTTGTTAAGTCAGAGACTTCAAATATGAATATATATAGTTATATTTCTAGCATTGTACTATATAGTTTTATTAAATAAGATTATTACCTAGTGTTGAACTCAATAATCACCGAGAACTAGTATGTTGTACCAGGTCTTTATATATTCCCCAGTATATTACTGTTTCTATATAATAGTTTTAAGAAATTGGATGTCATTATTATGCACTTTCAGTTATAAGCTACAATTTGTAAAAATCAGTAATTTTTACCCATTAATTTGTATATATCTTTTATCACTGTTAATATGTAAAAGTTGTTGTTAAAACTTGCAAATACTATTTCAGGCACAAAATAACAGTTGATCATTGGTCGTAAACTGAACACTTTTCTTCTTTTTTGTGTCTGTAACTGGGCATTTCTGTGTCATCAATCATGTTGCTGAATTGAATATTAATATAGCTAAATGGTGACTATTTTAATACTTGTATGTAATAAATAGCTATCGACTTGTAATATTTCAATAGTGAGGTAAGATCGAATAATAAAAAGTATACTTTCTAGATGTAAAAGGTTATAGACATACCTAAGTATCAATTATGAGCACATAACAAGTTATTAAAACTGTTATTAGAAGTTAACTGCATGTGTAACATTGTTTAGTTTTTACACAGCTTTGGCTCAAGGGAATGTGAATGCTTTTTGTCTCAAAAACCTCAATTTTAATTTGTGTAATCTCTAAAACCTTTCAAATTTCAAACGTTTTTTGTTTTTGTTTTTTCAGTAAAATTTTATATTTTATATGTTATTTTCCCCACCTTAATTCTATACAAAATTGGTCAATTTGACCATCCTCGTAACCACCCAAAAAAAATCTAAATATATCTAAATCACCCTCTTTTTTCTTTCTAGAATGGCTTCAAATTGTAACATGAAACTACATTTGTTTATCTTAAATACCTTTAAATTTGTAATAGTATATGTCTAGCAATACTTAAGTTTTAATGTTTTGTTGCCCTTTGGACTGTGTCTAACTACTATTTGTACCATGTAAGTTGTAAATCATGTGACAGACATGCAGCTTACATTATGGTATCGAACTGCCTAATGCATGGACTACTTGTAATTGTACCTTGTGAAAAATAATTTCTTCTACCTATCTAACCTAAAAAGTTTTAAATATTTACATTTTAAGTAAAGGACTTACCTGGGTCTTCTTATTTTTGCTATCAACTGTTGATAACTACTGTACAAAATAATGTTTTTATTTAATTAAATAAAGCTTTAAAGAACACAGAATAATAACATGCAAAAAGCAGAATATTTCCAATAACTATCACAATATTTCTGGCTTTCTAACTATGTGACAAGAGCTGTTTGAAATTCATCTAAGTTCGTCAAGATGTTTCCTGTGTGAATAAAGCTTGAACTGGAAGGGAAACTGATATTTCTCCATACAGAAAACAATGTAATGTAATATGTCATTTGATATATTAAAACCATGACTTTTTATTGGTTATAAATAATATAGTATTGAATGTTGGAGAGAACTATTGGCAATTTTTGAAAGAGAGGATGTGACAAGTGATTGTGGCAAGAAGGGTCTGATTTTCGAATTGATGGCTCTATATCCAAATAATATTGATGGCTATGAAAGTTGTGCTTTGCCTGAGTGATGACATCATTGTAATGAGTAATTTTCAATAAATTTCCTACTTTTTTGGAGGGGTAGTAAATAAGATAGAGAAGAGGGTATGCTTAGAGGATTTTTCTAAATATTTCCTTATCAACTTAAGATTTTAAAACTTGTATACTATTAAAATATGGATAATTAGCAGTGTTTTTATGCTATATTTATTGGTATATCATGATAAGAAAGTAGTTCAAGTAAATTTTGAATGGATAAAATAACTTTTCTGTTTTTTCTGTCATTCTCATACACTTATATCTTTAACTTTTTGGTGTACTTTCTTGTTTTAACTTGCTGATGTGATTTTGCAGCAAAACACTGTCTAAACACTGTTTGTTTCTTAGATTTGAGATCTGGAAAATTTTGGGGTATTAAAGTACAGTTTTCTGATGTTTTGTGAAAGTAAATAAGCATTACAAAACCATTCAGTTTTTGTATTCATTATTATAATAAAACATTAATAGTTATTTCTTTAAGTTCTTAACACTTGATTATAGGTTCCATTCAAATTTTGGAGTTTTATATACTATGTTTTAGAAGCACAAGTTTTTTCAATAAATGTAATGATGTTTAAAAACAGTGACATTTCTTCACTTTTACATTTCATTTGTTAGAAATCAAAATGAAACTTCTTTCAAACCACTTGAGCTTGGGTCTAAACACATACAAAACCCCAAAATATGAATGGCACTAGTTGTTCACACAACAACTATGACGAAGAAGCTCACTTTAGTGTTATGAACTTGAAGAAACAACAATTAGTGCTATTATAATATTAAATATAAAAATTGAAATACAACTTCTTTTAAACCATTTGAGCTTGGTTGTTAAGCACCCTGGGTATATTTTTATTTCACTTTAACCATGTAAGAATTTCTAAAATTATATGTAGATAGTGTGTGAATAAAGTTGAAATTTCAATTCTCGTGTCTCATATATATTAGATGGCCACCAGTATGTTAAAGATACATTCTTCTTATGAAATTAAAATATTGTTAATTAACATTTATTATAATAATTATTGCCACTGAAACAAGTTTGCTTAGTAAACTAGATAATAATTAATGATAAACTCAAAATATAATGTTGAATCATATGTACTTTGGCTCTCTAATGGTTAGAATATAATACTGTTTAACATTTACATGTATTATCTATCGTGGTTAGCTTAATTCTAAAGCAAAGTTTTTACAGCAATACTTGTATAATAATTATACCCTTTTTTCAATAAAAGTGTCAAGTTTCTTTGAAAATTAACATTTCATCTTTATTTTCTGTGTAAGATTCAATTGTATGTGAATAGTTGATTCTCCATATTCATCATTTCCTTCCCAGTATAAATATGTGAAATACAGGTTTTGAACTATGTCATAAACATAATTGAACTTTGAAAAATTAAGAAAATAATATTTCTGTATTTTATATCATAGTACGATACATCATTTACCTTTGATTATTTGTCCAGCTGTTTCCAGGTTTAATGTAGTAGTATTTATTATGATTTCTCATTTGATCAAAAATGTTGTTTTGTGCCTTGTATTTGCAATAGGTATTACTCTTGTTCAGTATTGTAACTGTAGTTGCAAAAGTTGTATTAAGTGTTTTTTTATATATGTTATTTTTTACTAGCTTACATGATTGCTTAAGATCATTCACATAAGAAATTGTCTGTAGTATGTTATTAAACTTAAAAAGAACTATTACTTACATCATCTTTAGCTTTATCTGTTTACAGATCGATGGAAAGTTGTTTTTAATTTTGTTGTTTTACAGGACTATACAGACTCACCTTTTTTTGGGTGACTTAGATGGTGCAGATGTGTTGCTGTCACATACCCTTCCCAGCAAAGTGTCAAGCAAAAGTTTGTGGAAAATGTTAGTTCAGGTTTCTGTTGTTGGTTGCTTGTTTTATGACCTCATTCAGTGAAGTATTATCTTCGATAGTTATGTTTGTGATGGAGCCAGATTAGGTAGAAAAGCGGTGTTAATCTGGATCAGTCTGTTAAATTAGATGAAATGTAAACAGTTAAGAGATTATAGTATATGCAGTATAAGTAGCAGTGTACAACTAAATTTTAAGTAGGGTTGAGGAGTAATACAGAAAGTATTTATTATAGGGCTGACATATATATGCTTGTGCCATGGTGTTTGAAGTCTGCTTTAATGAACAAAGGTTTTTGTCATCACACAAAATATATGAGTTGAAGTATGGTGTTTTTTGTTCATTCTTGATTTATTACCTGTTTGAGATCCAGCTACTGAGAGAAAAGTATTATTTATTGTACAGTCTTAGAGGTATGTTCTTTATTAGCTGTATGAAAAATGAGGTGATTGTGTGTGTGTGTGTTGACTTCTTTGTAAATGTGGAGTGAAATTTTTTTGTGTGTAATGTGTGTTTGGGTGTGTAAGTAGAAAATGCAAGCTCTAGCTTAAATATTTCAATATAAGTTAAGTTGCTAAACAGCCTTTAAAGATTATATTTGTTTATTCCGAAAAGAGAAACATGAGAGTTGTTTTTAAGAGATTCCTTCTTTTATTATTCATTCAGGTTTTAAAATGTTGGGAACAGTCAAGGGGCTGTAAAGATAATTTCTCATGTGATTTATGATGATTCAATCTTGATATAAAATTCTCAGTTTATCCTACAAAGTTTTTTTGTATCATTTTCAAAACAAGGCCTGAAGCCTTCTAAATTGGGAAATTTATATTAATGTGTCAATAAATGCAGAAAATGCTTAGATTTGGAAGTAAACAATAGAAAACACAAAAACATAGGTCTGTATCATCACTGAAAATTGACATTATCTGAAGCTTTTGCAGTGGCTACTGGTTTATCTATATTGCCAGAAGCTTGTTGGAATGGTATTGGTGGACCCAGTTGCTGAGCCAGTACTGCAACTAACAACATTACAAATACTACTCTCACTCATTTTATCATTTGGCATACAACAAAAACAAACCTGACACCTTGTTTCTTTTTTGTTGTAAGAAATTTTTTACCACATGCTGCAAGATGCTATGATGTCAGAAAGTTCCATCTCACTTACCAGACTCAAATGTTTGCCCATTTTATTTTCAAACAAACTTTTTAGGTAGGTTGGATGGTAAATTTTTCACTTATTTCAGTGAGAGTTCATTTGTTATTTTTTACAACAAATTTGGGATCTTCATACTTTAGGGTCATATTCAGCTCTAAATTGAGGACTATCCTCTTCCATTATTTATACAATTCTCCTTGCTAATTTCCAGCATATGCTGCCTTCCATATTCTCTCTTCCTTCAGCAGTTTCCATGTTAACTTTTTTGTTCTTCGTTACCCTTGTGCTATGACTTTTTTTTTGTCCAAAATTTATTATTTCCAGCCTCTCAATATCTCTGTGATTTTGAGTATTAAGTACATAGCATTGTTGCTTACTATCATGAATTCAGGTAAGCCTCTTGATTTCTTTGCAAAATTTTGGGTGAGTGCAATTTCTTTTCTTTTACTTGATTTCTTTAGTGGTTGTATTATCACTTGAAAACCAGATCTGACTAAGTGCAGACTTGTATTTTATAATTTTTCTGTTTTTCTGTCATGTCAATTGCCCCTGAGATACTGAAGCCACAGACAGATGTAGTTTTTGAGGTATAGAGAAATTATCATATTAAAGGCCTGGAATGTAGTGTTTAACTCTTTCTCAGCAGGGTCATACTTTGTCTGGGGGAATGTTATGAGTACAACAATATATACTGTAACTCTGAGATTTCTTAAAGTATCCACCAAAAACTGGTAAGATTTCGTTAAAGATTATAAGTATCTTGTACACAGAGAATGACATTATTTTAAGTATTTCTTCTAAAAATTTTATTTATCTATTTTAGTTATTTGCCTCCACACTGTTCAAAACACCTCCAATTTTTTTTTACATCCTACAAACTCTAAATACAAATTGTACAACTTCACTACTAGTTAGTTACAAGGTCAGTCAAAATGATGTCCATATACAAAGTAACTGGTTTATTCTCTGTCTGTTAAGATCAGATTAACAGTTTATGTCAGGATTTTATTCTTGCGTTTTGGTATTTTTGCTTTACTATAGTTGACCTATTTCTTTTATGCTGGGAAGGTCAAGAAACATTTTTCATATGTGGTGATCTCATGGGATTATAGTTTCAGTTTATTATAAGTTCAAGAAGTTCTGTGTTGGCATTTGTTTGTGGCTTGGGACCACACTATTTGGTCTAACTTTACAGTATTTGTCTGTTAGATTTCTCTTTCATTCTTTTCTCTTATCTGATGATTCACAAGTGCCAGGTGCCCAAAATCTGTCCTGCCTCTAATTATGTGGACTTCATATTACATATGATGGAAGGTGTTCTCATTTGTTGTTGATTTGAGTTGTCACAGCACTAAGATGCTTTTATTCATAAGTCTTGAGTGTTTCTTCCTCTCTCAAGAGTTTATCACTCTTCTTTACTTTTTTTGTGTCTCAACTGCTGCTTTACTCATTTTACATTGTTCTTATCATATCCTTGTTCATTGACCTTGCTTTATGACTGTCTTGTATGGTGTTTCAATCTTTTGCATTTGATACCCTGCACTGGGTTTGCAGTTTGATTAATGTGATTGTACTAAATAATAATTTCCACTAGGCCTCGACCTGATACAGATTTTAGTATCTTACCATATATATATATATATTGAAATTACTGAAAAACTGTGTATGGGCCATTCGTAGTCCTTCGTGATCTATGTTTCACTCTCCACATCTCTGGTGCTTGAACAAAAATGGAATCACTAGTTTCACATGGAAGGTCTGTCATGATTGTATTGTTTGTTTTCAAGTCTTAAACATCAGCATTCGATATACAATACATTGTAAAAAGTTTTGTACCTTCTTGGTACTCATTCAAGATACTTTAGAATAGGACTTTAATTTGTGTTTATGGTGTAATTATTTCAAACCATTTAAAGATGAGTGCAACATGCAGGATGTATTCTACTTCCTATCATTACTCCTAGAACCCATTCATGAAACTTCAGAAAACAAGTTTTGATTTTGCTCCCGTGTTTGATTCTCATATTACCAACATGTCAAATGGATGTATATGAGCAACATGATTTATTTGTGGCTTTTAATTGTTTAATTCATATGTGTGGATGTCACTAAATTAGTTTGAAGTTTTACAATCTGCAAGACCAAACTCTATCCATGTTATGTGACCTGTTGCAGAAACTGTGTACACAGCGCATGTGTATGTTAATCTAAGAGAGTAATGGAATTATCTGTTTTCAAGCCTCTTAGAAACCTGTTTAAAACACTAGATATTGTAGGCTGCATCCTGTTATCGTATTTTTACTCTATTTATGACACTAGAGTGGGATTTTAATTTTATTTATGGGTTTTTCGATCATTTACTTCATTTTCAAGCCTAAAGGAAAACAGAGTGAAACACACAAAATGTTGTGGTCTGCTTTTTAAGAAACATAAGAATGAAACTTTTGATTTTACTTTCCCATTCAGTGGATCCATTGCCCACTCTTCCAAATGGTTTGGACTCAAATGATTATGCTGGAACTCAGATTTTGATCCTTCCTCACATTGTAAGTTTTTATCTTGTTGACAGTTGATGTTATCAGGTGATGCTCCTTTTCATTGGAGCAACTTGGCTTGTGGATAGATGTAGCTACTGGTAAGTAATTAGAGATTTCACTACAGTTAAGTATCTTAGACTACCTGGTGTTTTGTTGTGGGACTAGCAGTAGTTTTGGTGACTCAATAGAGATCCATCTGACTCAGTATGCTCAACCTATTTGGCCATGCCCATGATCACCATAACCTAATTATCTTGCTGTTGGTGTATTTATATTGTCCGTATCATATGGCCTTCAACTTCATTCCTTTTCCAAAATGGACAGGCACCTTTATGCTTTCTCGGGAAATTTTAACACTTTACACAGTTCTCATGTGTAAAAAAATATTCTTATTTTAAAATGCAATTCATATAAATACCTACCTTTACTATATCATTCCCATCATTTACATCTTGTTGAGAAGATTTCTAGAGAAAATATCCTGCCCTATTGCCTTATCTCTTCATATCAGCTCATGTATGCCAAAGTGCACATGACCAAAGGAGTAAAACAGGAATGCACAAATAATATCATCAGATGAAAGAAATTTTGCACATCCTATAATTTCTGGCATTAAATGAGGGGGTTGGAGCTAATTAAGATCAGTGAATTAACTTTGATCAAAACATGCTACCTACATAGATCAGAATTTAAAATTACTGAGTAAAGAATGAAGAAAATGTATTAATATTCTTAGATATGATTAGAATGCAATATTCTTGGTCATAAACCTAATAATTTCACAAGGTTCAATTAATGAAATATTATAATTAAAAATATATTACAAACATGTTAAAAATAATAAAGTAGGTATATGTATTAAACAATTTTATGAATTATGTTAATGGAACTGACATGAGAGAGGTATAATATAACTTACTTACAAAACACTGATTCTCTGACCACTTAAAGTATGACATCATTACCCACAAAACATTATACAATCCTCCATAACAATGTCTAGTGACCAGTGAACACCCATTAAATGGCTTCAAAAAGTCTATCTTCATAATTAGCCAGGACGATTTTGTTAATATTGGACTTCTGTAAGATAATAGAATAGGTCCTATAACTGTGTGTGTATGCTGGTCCAAAAGGTGGACAAACTTTGAGCAAATTGTAATTTTTCTTCTGGATGTATACGTTGTATTTTGATGTAAACTTCAGGCTTTGCTTTGATTTTTGTTTAAAAAAAAAGGAAAATTTCTATTGTGGTTTTCTCAGATTTATAGTTTACAGTTTTGAGAGAAATTATTTGTAATGATTTTGTTTAGGTTTATAATCAAATTTTTAATTGTCAAAGTGTCACCCACTTGTAAAACTCAACTTTGATGATGGCACTTTAGAATTGCAAACAAAAGCAAGATCTTGTGCTGAAAATTAGGTAACCGCAGTGGTATATTTTTCTCATTTCAGAGCCATATATATAGCTATACAAGACCAAAACCATAAAAAGGTAGGTTAATGGAGTAAACACTTGCACTAATTAAATTATTTTATTGTCATATTAAAACAAAGAAAAATGATATTAATAAAAATATTTCAAGAATGGAAACTTCTAGCTATTATATTTCATATTCTTTTTAAAAGAATTCTTAATTTGTTTCTATTTCTCTGATATTACTTTTTCAATGTAAAATTTCATATTCTTGCTGTTTAAGAATTCCTAATGTTTAAAATCTTTCTGGGTTTAACAGAAAATATTGTTACAAATAAGTTGATGGGAAAAGCATTAACATACAATCTACAAAAAAAACTATTAATAGTTTATTACAGTGTTGTTTCTTCACTAGGGAATGATGGTGGCATTAAATAGATTCATTGGACCTAGAGAGCATATGAATAGTTGAAAAAAATGAATGAAAATTGACAACATATTTTACTAAGGAAATGTTTATTACTGAAGTACATAACAAAAACAAT